TGTTGCAGAGACCAAACGGCATGACCTTGAATTGTTAAAGGCCGTCGGGGGTAACGAATGCAGTTTTAGCACGACAATTTGCCAGTCGCCAGATCGGAGGTCGAGAGATGAAAAAAAGGTGGCGCCATGAAGACAGTCAAGTGCGTCGTCAATACGTGGAAGAGGATACACGTCTTTCTTGGTTATTTTGTTGAGGTGCCGATAATCAATACAGAAACGCCAGGACCCGTCTTTCTTCTTCACCAAGACCACTGGGGAGGCCCAAGGGCTTGACGATGGTTCGATGATGTCTTTCGATAGCATGTTGTCCACTTCCTTCTGAATCACTGCTCGTTCTGATGCGGACACGCGGTAAGGCCGACGGTGGATGGGCGCAGAGTCACCAGTGTTGATTCGGTGCTTGATAATATTAGTCTGGCCCAAAGGACGATCACAGGTATCAAAAATGTCACCGTAGGAGGCCAAACCGCGGCAGAGCGCGTCGGCCTGATCAGGCGAAAGGTCTGGTTCAATCATATTTCGAAAGATGGCCTTGGCAGAACCGGGTAACCATGAGACTTCGGCTTGGTCCGGAACAGTTACAGCGACAACGTTTATGTCATCTCGTATGGCAGCGAGTTGAGCAATCGACATCTGGTAGGGCAACACTTGAGGAATGAGGCCAAAATTTAGGAGCGGAAGAAACACACAGTTGTCCGCTACGGTGGCGATGGTATGCGGCACTGTAACACAGCGCGTCAGTCATGCGTCTGTTATCGGTGTAACGATGTAGTCTCCGTCGGGAACTGGAAGGGTCTATGACAGACAGACGTATGTCACAGCTCGAGGCGGCAAGCGAACAAAAGTGGTTAAACCCAAGCGGCTGACGAGCTTTTCACAGGCATCAGACAGCAGGGGAAGGTCGAGGCTGAAAGTGCCAGGACAGTCAATGAAAGCCGAGTGTGCCGAGAGGAAATCAAGGCCTAGTATGAGGTCATGGGGGCTACGATCTAGAACGGCAAAAAGGACTACGGCGTGACCACCAGCAATGTTGACACGAGCAGTGCGCCTTCCGACGACTTCTACAGCGCCGCCATCGGCAACACGTGTGGCCCGAGTCGTAGAGGGCATCATGATCTTCTGCAAACGGCGGCGTAGATGTGCGCTCATAATAGATAGGTGGGCGCCTGTGTCAACAAGGGCAGTAACAGGAACCTTGTCGACTTTTACTTCAATGAGACTGTGGTGTGTGGGCAGCGTCAGTAGAGAGTTTTCGGGCGTCGTTGGTATTGCAGCTTCACCTCCATAAGCTGCAATATTTAGTTTTCCTTTTGCGATCGTCCAGAGAAGCTCGGCGAGGAAAAGTGCCGAGGCGGCGGAGAGCGGGTTCGGCGGCGTAGCGGCGACGGGGAGCGGGAGGAGCGGTAACCGGAAGAAGGGGCGTCAGTGGGGAGAGGCTCGTGAGGAGGCGGCGAGTAAAAGTTGGACGGTGTAGTGTCTGGACGTCCAGAAGTGGTAGGGCGCATATAAGTATAGGGTACCTCTGACGTGGTGGGTTGGACCAGCGGCGACGGCAATAACGAGAAATATGTCCAGGTTGATGACAGGAAAAGCAGATTGGCTGGTCGTCAAGGGTTCGCCATTGCGTAGGGTTCCGGAAGGGCAATGATGGAGGAGATCGGCGAGCGTTACCTGAGGGGTATGGGCACACTTCAGGGTGAGTCACGGGACACGCTGACGGAAGACCGAGATTAGCGAACTCCTGCCTAACCACAGCTTGAATTAAGGCAACCGATGGGTGTGACGGGTCAGTGGCTTGAGTTGTACAAACAGGCTGTTGAATGGGAGCTGGACAGGCAGCTTCAAGCTCCCGACAAACAATTCAGGTGACGTGGTCATAGGTGGGTAGTTAGCGAGCGGCTTCACACGATGAAGTTGCGGCCATGTTGGGCAGTCGTGTGAATCTCTGCGTGACACGGCGGCTCTTGGCGTGTTCAAACCGCCGGCACTCTTTGATGATTTCGTCGATGGTGGTGACGTTATTGTATACAAGCAGGTTGAAGGCATCATCGGCGATGCCTTTAAGCACATCCTATACCTTCTCAGGCTCGGGCATGTGCTCGTCAACCTGGCGGCAAAGGGCGATGACGTCGTGAATATACGCAGCCACCCTAACGCGACGTAGGATTCGGTAGACGTCTGTGCCCGAGTAGCCAACTGATTTCGCGCAGTTATCTGTCGTGCAGCGGCGTTCCCAAAAAGGTCATGGATCTTCTCCTTGAAAGTGTCCTAGCTGGTAATGTCGGTTTAGTGCGTCTCCAACCACACCCGCGGAGGGCCATCACGGTAAAAAAAGCACGTTGGCAAGCATGAGTGCCGGGTCCCACCTATAGCTGGCGCTGATCCGTTCATACACGTTGAGCCACTTGTCAACGTCAAGGCCATCCTGTCCGGAAAATACGCCAGGATCACGAGCAGGAGGTAGGACAACGTAGGTAGGAGTCGCAGAAGAGGCGGGTGGTGAAGACGATGTACCTTGAACCTGTGACATGGAAGGATCCGTGATGATGCGGCCGCTGCGGAGCTTCGTGGTGGGTACAGGGAAGGACCAGCACCTCCACCACAAATATGTGACGTAAAATGAGACAAGACGTGACTATTTCCCAGTGTATTTACACCGATAAAGTCGGAGCGCAACACACAGAGCGAGCAAACCGGTCCTCTTCGTCGTCTTCTGATCACAGAATGGTTCACCCTTCATGCGATAGCTACGTACCAATATGATCACATACTTTGGGAATTTAGCATAGCGCCGCCGCCGGTGGATACTATGCGTGATCCCTGTCTTGAGCTCTGCATGGGAGGCCGTGTTTACCAGCTCAGACCCAATCGTACAGTTAAGGGTCGTGGAGTGGGCCACACAGGTCGCCGCCAACCTTGGGTTGGTGGCAATCTAACACGGAATCATCCGCAGTTGCTTTCTGACGGAATAAAGTTTTACCATTCATACAGCTTTGCCGCAAAGGCAAAGCAATGAACGCGATAGCAGCAAACTGGAAGGTCACGCGCCAACAAATTGGAATGTCACGCGCAGAATGGCAAGCAGATCGAAACGTGCCCCGCGTTTCTCACACACTAATGACACACGAAACGTGCTCACAGGTACATATGAACGCGAGTGAGCTTTTCAGTTGTTACTTCGCTGTGTCTGAAAACCACGCCCTTTCCGCTAAGGGAGACTGTGTAAAGATTTAAGTGACTTCTGTGCGCTTGGTAACTACCAGAGAATCGTTCCGGTGAAATTCCAAGGCCAGCCAAGACATACGATTTTCCCCACCGCGAGATAAGGGCGCGCGAGCGAGCGTCCAACGCCCTCCTCTCTGCGGGCCAAAGTACGCGTGTGAGATGAGAGCACGCGCCACCGCGTCGTGACGATGTGGCGACGCGGTCATTGTGCCATCTTGCTGGTAATGCTGAAAACACGATAGCTCCCCCCCGAGATGCCCGTCAACAGCGGTAAGTGGTAGATACCGCTTACCGCCAATTAAACGTTGGAGGACATGGCTCAGTGGTTAACGCCTCGACCGTTTCAAAGGCCGCAAGTTCGATTCCGCGCGCTGGAGTCTTTTTCTCGAATATTTTTCTTTCCTGCGTTTTCATATATATATATATACACACGGTGCCGACGACACCAAAATCCAGCCGAGAGTGTTCATATAATTGCCTTCCGTCTCTCAATGCCCAATAGCAGCGATTGGCATATTCTAGTAGGAAACATTGGCCTATCACTGCGTGCTTTGCACCTTCCCAGTTCTCTCTTTTGTTCAACGCAGCAGTGAGCGCCAGCGTCAACGCCGCCGCCAGTGTTAGTGTTGTCATCCGCTGATTCGCGTCTACAAATGGTTCCCTTTAGCGGAAAATGGTGAAATGTTTTTTTTTTTTTTTTTGCGGAGCGCGTACCGCGTATGGCCAGTACTCCTATGAGCGTTGCAGGCTGGGCCGGGTTAGTTGCTGGTTACATAAGAAGTGATAGCCGCGGGACTGGACGTGAGCTAGGATACATGTGAACCCTCGGAACTGAAACTTAAGGATGAGTATCAACACCGATCGCAGGTATCAGGGTCCCACCCTTCTCATGGAACAGAGCTGCTGGGAATTGAATAAAGTTAGGGCGCCTCAGTGCCAGCGTTCCTTGTTAAGAAACACCGGCATCGAGGCACCCCAAGTACAGAAATTGCCACATACAAGGTAAGACAACTTCACGCTACACTATTTCACCATCGTTGCGGTTGGATGTCTAACAACTAGAAAAGTATACGTACTGCCGACTCATTTCGAGTAGGCGACCTTTTACTACTGCTCGTATTTTTTCTTTCTCTCCCCAACCATCCCACACTCAAGACGGTATTGTCACTAAGAGTGCCAGATAATATTCTATTCACTTGATTACATGTCAAACATCCACTATCTTTACCATGACAACACGACATGGTGTTTCAGAAATGGATAGCACTAAATCGAACACAACATAGAAGACACACAGAAGCACAAGACAGGGGGTACTAGCTGCGAGTAAAGTCTGCCTTGCGAGTCTTTTCTTTCTTTGTCTTGTTCGATTTAGTGCCATCCATTTCTGAAAGTTATGAACTAACTAGACCAGCAAGGTATTTTGTTAACCTTTAAGTTGTTTCCGAGACATATGCGTCCTCAAGCATTACATCACTGTGCAACATTGCAAAACTTAGGCAGAGCGCCTCTCGCATGGAGCAGGCAGAGACAGCTGGCTAAGACCAAGGTGCGCTGGCCACCTGATCATCGTGGCCTCTCGCAGGCTGAAGATCAGCTGCATGTATACGACGCCAAATAAATGTTTCTACTTCTCAAGAGCCTCCAAAGTTGTAGGGAAGAAAATGAACAATCACCCCTTTTACACTTATCCACGTCGCATTTTCGTGGACTTGGGAGCTCTGTGAGGCCATAATGAAAAAAAGTGTGGTCACCCTTGCAACAAGGCCAAGCCGCGCGTACTGTCAAATTTTATTGAGTGGCCATAAATGCAAACTGCAATTTCTCACGCACGCCCACGTGAACGTGCTACAGAAACAACAGGAAAGCAATACAAGAGGCACCACAGTGGGCAAGTACATGTACAGTCAGCTACAGAATTTTGCAGGGCACGAGCTTGCGAAAAAGGGAAAGAAAAAACTCAATTCCTGGAAGTCTGGACACACTTTCTCGAACTTGATATGGAAACTATAATGCGGAGTCAACGTAGTCAAAACCACTTTCGCAGCAGTCTGTCGACGTTTAAGTGCCAGGCTTTAAAAGCAGTATTTCACATTTCGCAAGTCAACCATGTCCCGTGAACTTTCGCGGAAGAGTTTACTTGCCCGTGTAATTGTGCAAACACACACACACAAAAAAGGTGAAAAAGCAGAAAATAGGATAAAGACTCCTTTTACTGGATGACCGTAAACTTGTAACCAAACACGTCTAAAAGAACAAGTTAGTGCTTCGATCTTTATCCAGCTGTAGATATGCATAGTTTGTAATTGCAAATCTCGCTCCACGAGGAAAGTGCCGCAGCCGCAGATTTGCGGCATGCGTCAAAAGGCAGGTGGGAAAAGAAAAAAAAGATATAAGAAGCTGCGTAACAGGCAGGCAGCTGAAAGAAGTGCGGTAAGCGAGAATGCAAATGCAACCGCGACACAGTGACAGAAGTGACACGGGGCTGCACTTTTCCTGCATCACCGTTATCGCAACATGACTCGGACAAAGACAGCAGACCGCTCACAGACCAAAATGACGCACACATACGAGACACAGTCTTCACTTAAAAAAAAAAAAATGGAACATGCGTGCAAACCATGACCGGAAGGTTCGTGGAAAGGGGTGCCCAAAAAGAGAACCCAAGATGCCCTGCTTCAGCAGCCAATGTGAAACCATTCAAAAAAATTCTGCAAGCATGCCAAACATCGCCTGCAGGATCAAAATGGAGATGTGAATCTCCAAATTCCAACAGAGGTGTGGGCACATATGTGCGTAGTAGAGATAAGATTGACGAGTTACGCAAAAGCTCCAACGCAGCTGCAGCGAGAGACGAATGTGTTCAAAACTAACGCCGGGCAGCGGCTGAAGACTTAGAGGGAAACCCCAGCAGGACTTTCTGTCTCTGCACTTGTGGCCCACAAAGATCCTTCCCTGGTTAGACACGTATGCTCCAGTTGTTAAAGAAAAAGCAGTCGCCTGGTGAAAGCACAGTCACAATGCGTGCAGTGCCTTATATTGGCGCCATAATCAGAGATGCTAGCCTGCTTTGCACAGGTTGCACAGTAGGAGTTCCTGGTAACCTCCTAGCAAGTATGTACCAACAAATGTAGCACATACTTAAAGCTGCTTCCCAAATTTGGCCCAACAGGATTACATACGTTCAAACCTGGATATATTGAACTAAAGATGCAAAGGAGCTAGACATACTTATAGCTTTCAATGTGAAATTCACCTATATAAGGCGTATAAGAAAACTCCGCAAGTTTTTGATGGTCTCCATAGGTTGTGAAAAGCAGAATTTTATCAGTTTGTCTCTACAATCATGCAGTAAAGGCAGATGCTTTTCACTAACATTTGTTTTTCATTGGCAATTCTTTGAAGAATGTGCATATCTGACGAGAAGGCGTGTTCAGTTTTTAATATAGAATGGCAGCACGGTTTTAGTTGATAAGTGCAGGTAGTGTGTTTTCTTACATTGTGGTTGGTTCTCTCAATGTAATTACTATTCACCACATTACACGGCTGTGTTGTGCAGGCAGAAGCTAGTGAAAGCAAATCCACTATTGCAAAGTACAAATGAAATCCCTGCCATAAGATTCATCCATATTTAGATACATGCACATTGTTCATTCTTGTTTCACAGCTTTCACTGCCCTCCAGATTAACAGCATATGCCAAAACGGAGCCTTTGTCAGCAGGAACCTTTCCTAAATGCAAATGAACACCTGTTAACAGAATCTTACTACCAGATGGTGCACCGAAGTACAGCCCTCTATATATGAGCTGTGGAGCTGAGTGTTCGTTATGGACATAGCAGTGCACTGTCACATCGAATTTCCACTTGGACGTTAAAACTTTTTAACCCACGAAATCAGTCTATATATCCAGGTTCAACTGCACTTGAAGCATGTGACAAGCAGATAGGACAAGTGCGAGGACAAGTGCGAGGGCAAGCAGCACTGAGACACTCAACAACACGCACACAGTATGGCTAACTTACACACAGTAATACAACAAACACACAGTGCAACTTGCATTCAGCTTGGTTATCATATAGTTTATACAAAATAAAAACAGGAAAGATGCTATGGCAACCACACTGTTTCACTGTGAATGGCATAACATAAGCAAATAAATGCACTGCCTTGATACTGTTACGATATTCGCATAATTAAGCCAGCGCTACCTGCAAAAGTCTCGCACATGTTAGACACTGGCCAAATAAAGAGTCATCACAAAGCTATACTTATGTTCCTGAGCCTAAATGATACCGACAGCATGATCGTTTTGACTCTAGCATGTTAACTTGTGACATATGCTATACATTACACTTGCATGGCAGCTGTAACATCAAAGGGACACTAAAGGCTACTATTAGGTCAACGGTGAATGTTGAAATAGTGGTCTAGAAATTTTTTAGTCCTACTTTTGTGCCAAGGAAGTGCTTATTTTGAAATAAAATCACGTTTTGGTGATCCACATCGAGTTAGCGCACTTCAAGTTACCCGACTCAAGCAGAATGTGTCGTGTCACTGTTGCCATGCACAACGTTGCTTGGCAGCAGAACGAAAGCAAAGAGAGCCACATCAGCAACAACAGTCATTGAACAATTTCCCACCATTAGCTCCGAGATGGCAGACGCGTTTTGGTTCAACTGGGCCCTGCTAGATGGCACGAACTGTTCAGTTTTACCAGGCGAAAATTGAACTTTTGAACCATTCACGCCAGCAGTAACGTCCAGCGAATCTTTCTCCCCGAATTAAACAGAAATGAACAAGCAGCATTTTATTTCTACTCTTGATAAACGGAAGATCTCTATTTAGTGCCGGTAGTCATTTTGCGAATGTCCTATCGTAGTGCACAAATTCTCATCTATTTGCCTTAATTTCTCGTTAAGTGGGGCACTTCTGTTTATAATATTGTCGTTTCAGACATCATACATGGAACTTTCACTCCGAAATAAATTGTTACTTGACTTTAGTGTCCCTCTAACAGCCACTACTTTACCATTGCTTGTAGTTGCAGCTTAAAGGCATTAACAATGCTGCAAATAAACTTTTACTTCCAACATATGACATTGAAAATGAAGTCAAAATGCTTATCTGGCGTGAAGTTAGCTGAATAAACAGTATTTTATAGCCTAGATGAAATTCAATCAAGGTTACAACTAAAAGCAAACTGCCCAAATAGAAACTTGGCAGAACACAAACACAAAGTGAGCCTGCAGTGTGCACACTTACTGTTTTGAAGGTTGTACCCAATGTTTTTCAGGGTGGCTTGAAACATTTAAAAAGTAATCAAGGAAAGAAAATCAAAATAAGCGATACTCTGACAGCACAACAAGCAAAAGCGCAATGAACGACGCCACCATATGCCCCAGCTTTGGCCTCGTGTACACCCTTTTAATGCAATGCATAGCAATGGCAACATTCTCATCGTCATGATAAATAATGATGCTTCCCAGCATAATATGCCGACCTGAAGGATGCTGAACTTATCAGCACATGTTCAATAACAAGTAACAAAGCTTGCAACAGAGAGTGGCAAGCTCTGCACCTTCTAACTAAACTAATATTACTAAAGCATGATCTAAAGCTTGAATATTATAACACAAGCTTTCTTTCTGCTTTGCTTCTACAGTACAGACCCTTCCCTGATTTGTTAACAGATCAACTATACTACGTTTAACACTTGATGCCACGCTATACCAACTTGAGAACATTCTAACGGCCTCCAGAGATTGCCAATGAAACTCGACACCTGGCGCAGCCTGTCTGAATAACCCAAAACAGCCCATACCGGAACAATGTTTATGCATAAAAAAAAAGTTGTATAGCATCGCCGTTCATTTATCTCGTTTACCTGCACACACATCTTTTATTGTCAGGGCTGTACATCTCAATTACTAAGTAGTTAGGTGCTTATGGATCACAATAGCACCTTCGTGCTCTCTCACTCCACCATTACAATGAACTTTACTGAAGAATGGTTAAACAGCAGCAGTTTACAGCTCTCAGAGTGTAAACATGTTCGCAGATATATGCTGCCACACAAATGTGGAAAACAATGTACAACACGGTGTATCCCAACACTTGTGCCCAAATAGGTTGTATGCCCTTTTGCTACCGGCCTTGCTCTCTTTGGTTGGATCCAGCCACACTTTACCATACAGCCTTCACATGACATTTTCTACAAGCCAAGTTAATTACTGCCAACATGCCTTCCACCTCTGCACTCCTTTAGTATTTTACTGGAAGGTTCAAGCTCAGAACAATAGTGAGGCTTTTCTTTATTTCCTTTTGCAGACACAGAAGACACAGGAGGCCAGGAATGAGAGCAAGCAGTTTATGTCAAACAAGCCCCAGAGAGTATTGGGCGCTGCTTAGCAGACTTATCGAAGAAGCACCAATTGAGACACTCTTTGTTAACTGGCTCTCACTAATATCAACATATTGAGAGAGCTATGCTCATGTAACCTAACTGCAATACCATAGTTTAAGAATACCCCGAAAGTGTTTTTAATAAAAAGATAAAGCACCCCCCTTTCCTTAACTTTAACCAATCCCCACCCCTTGTCTTATCAGGCGTTTTGCACATGTTCACTGGCGCCAGAATTTTCAAGCTTCTCTTCCCTCATTGATTAAACCACAACGTGTGAATAATGCCAGCAGACATTTTTCAGGAACCCCCCGCCCCTCTTTGCCACCACTCTGTCCTGACGAGCCACAATTGGCAACATTGCTTGGCAATCTCATGGAGAGTCAGCGTCGGTGTTGCAAGTATCGGTGCGCCCCCTTTTCTTGCATGGCATCTCGTCATCCAGATAGAAACCGCAACGTCCGGCATCGCGCTTCTTTGAGCTGCTCTGCTGCAAGAAAGCATTTTATATCAACAGAGTCAGTGGCCTACACACACCTTTGACTTGCAAGGTTGTGAGAAAAAGTAGACATCAAAAAAAAGCCCTTCCTATTCATTCCATGCTCGCACATTTGACTTCCACATGTCTACAAGCATCTGTATGTCTGTATAAAGAGCTGAAGCAGAGCAATGAGAACTAACAAAAGCAAGGTTGCTTCTGTTAACTTTCAAGGACAAAGGCAACGCATACACAAGGTTCACATTATTTTCATCCTGTCAGCTTTAACCTTACAGTCTCACAGGCTGTCATTCTTTTCTCCTTTTTTTTTTGGAAAGTTAAAGCCCACGTATCAATCAATCAATTTTTTCTCTTTTCTTAGGAAGAGCAGTCTGACCAAAGAAGCATGAAGGGATGCTCGCATCCCCTGATAAAATGGTTACCCCACATTGCACTCGCGTGCCCTGCAAAGCTAGCTTTCCCAGTGGATATGGGTCAACACAAGGTAGTGCCAGTGTTTTCACGAACACACGACCTGGTGGCGAGGATATGTAGGGCCACAAGGAGCAGCATCTTGTTTCTCTCGCACTGGGTCATGCAGGCAAGTGCCGACCACATGTAATGGGGGAGATCCGCTGGTACGATCCTGTGTACTGCTTCTCAATGACCCGAACAGACCTTTGTTCATGACTCACAACCCGCAAAAAGTGTATGCTTGAGTTTCTGGGACATACGAACTTTACTCGCTCGTTATCCCGGTGCACCAACATTAACATTGTCGATCCCTCAGCATGTTACAAAGGCACGACATGAATCGCACAATTCGGCTTATGGGCTTGCTATGGAAAAAGGTGCCAATAAACTTTTTTTTGGTTCGCACAAACATGCATTGTGTCTTTTTCCTAGAGCATGTGAGACTGCACAATGACCATACCAAACTTACCAAGCATAGAACAAACAAGAATAGCCAAAGCACTGAAAAAAATTTTACAACAATGGTACACATGCATCCCAGTGAAACACCTAATGCAATGGCCCCAAACTATTACTCCTAAGAAAGAGGTGGTTTCCTGCACCATTACTGAGGAGTATCAGGAAGTGGCCTGATATGCACTACAGGGCTTATCAAGAGGGGAGAAGCAAGTGTATCAAAGCGCGACTGCCACATTGACGGTCATCACCATCCACAGTTAAAAGCAGATTATCTAGCAGGTAAATCAGGAATGTTCGTGAAAAAGACAAGCTTGTCAACAAGAGGTGAAATGAAACATTTCGCTTGGAGTAAACTAGCTCTAACTCTTCTCTCGAAGAACCCCAGAGTCACAACGAAGAAAGGTGCCTTTAACTTCCTCTACCATCTATAAGACCCGACCCAGCCAGTTGAGAGGACTGGACTTTAAGGACTATTGTGATTGACCCCCCAGCGGAAGAGCTCTATTATATTATAACCTACCTAAGTGGACTGCTGCAGAAAAACCAAGGGCCAGGAGTACGCTAAGACTCCAGTCCCAGATATGAAGTTTCTAACTCGCATTCAAATGTGTCTTTTGTTCTTTTGCTTCATGCATGTCATAAATTAAATAGTGTTCGCAACTTCTTTCCTTGTCTATGACCAACCTTCACAGTGGTCTTTGGCTGCCCATGGCTACAGCTACAACTTTAGCATGCTACCACTCAGCACTACATGTGGGCAGCTTGTGAGACGAACACCCAGGGTCCAGAATGACTTCTAGAGGCTTTAAAGTGACACTAAACAACAATTTTACCACCACGATTTACATCCAGATTGAAAGACTGGGTGCTGAAATCGACAGACACAACGTTCGTTTCAGGCATAAATTAATAATAATATGCGTAGTTTTACATTCCTAAACCATGATATCATTATGAGAGATGCAGTAGTAGAGGGCTTCGGAAATATCGACCATGTGGTGTTCTTTAAAGTGCACCGACATCGCACAGTACCGGGCCTCCATCAAAATGCGACCGCCGCGACCAGGATCAAACCCGTGACCGGGTCATCAGTCAAGCATCCGCTGATCCATTGAGGCGGCCAGGCATAATTTTGAGAAAAAATAATGGATTCAATGTGTTTTCCATGAACAGCCACATCAGCCGCATGTAGAGGCTGCATCGTCAAACCGTTAACTTGAAGATTTTATTTTTGGTGGCACTTCATGCCTCATAAATGGGCATGCCAACAATGCCAGCCATCCACCAGCATCCCTTAGCCTGCTCAGCTCCCACTACTGCAGTTCCTAGAACCTCAATGAATGGCAACGGCAGCATTCCCAGATCCCGGCTGAGGGCACGCCTCAGCGTGCTCAACGCCTTTGTGAAAATGGAAATCGTGATATGTGAAAGAGAGGTGGAGAAAGGAACGAGGAGGACAGGAACATGTGCACCCCGCACGTGTCGTGGTGACTGTGACGTACGGCTCGCGCTGGCACGCAGTCACCGCACGCTGACAATCCACCAAAAATGAAGCGAACTGTCGAAAAATACAGGAAATAAGCACTGTGTACCAGAACAGTCAGATCCTCCAAAAAGAATTTCAATGTTCTTGTCATTTTCTACAATTTTTGTTGATATCTCTTTATTTTGAAGTATCAACAAGGTGCGAGATTGAGCTAATCTGTAGGGCATTATATTAAAGTACATGTCCCAATAGTAAAGATTTAGTTTCAAAAAGCAATTGCAAGCGTTGCCTTTACAGTTTCTCACTCAAAAGCTTTTTCCATACTGTCTCATATCACTTAAATTCTGATATATAGTCAAGCCTATAGAAGCCAGACATGCGTATAAGAAATTATTGTCAATTTAGAATATGCTTTAGCACAGTGCAAGACAGGGGGAGTTTGAGCATAGCTTAACAAAATAATTGTGATGCAACTATTACAAGGAAGAAAAACGAGAAAAGAGGTACTATCCTATGCTCTCGTTTTTCTTCCTCGTCTTAGTTAGGCCACTAGTATTAAGTAAAGCTATTTAGAAAGGTGTGCACAAATGCTCAGTGCTAAACATGTGCCAAGTATGTTCACCGCATCTTTCAATGCTGCACTTCTGCAAGTGAACTACTAACAGTACCACAATACCTTCTCATAGATTTGCAAGCATTCATGACTACAAAACAGCTCCATTTTTGTATATGCAACCAAACAGAACACCAAAACTGAAGAGAAATACATGCCATGCACAATAAATTAGCCAGGTGGATGTATCAAGATGCAAAGCAAAACCTTAACTGCATTCAACAATGACACAATTACTTTATTATGCTTCACTGCAAAGCAGAAGTGTAATGTGGTGAAACATGCAGACAACAGTAGGAACAGTTTTATTATCGAGCATACTGCCCATGCCTCACATCTATAATATTGGATTACTAACATATCAAGCTATCTTGTAACTGTTTCCAAAACTGGGTGTTTGCCCCGTCCACATTCATGCACCATACGACACAAGTTCAGATTGTCTGAAAACGATTTGTATAAAATTCAATGGTCTTTAGGGAGGAATGGTGATAGAAACTTTTCTTAAGGCCTTGAAAACAAAATTCCAAATTTTGGGGATTCTCAAGGGTTTCTAGGACATGCAAACAACCCACAAATGGCCAACCCATACTCGGGCTTGAAGCTAGTAGAGATGACAGTGCTAAAACAGTAATATTTGCCCTAGTCAACAAAATTTAGAGCATTCGCTGTGTGTAAGAGGTACAAACTTTTTACCGCCCATATATTTCACCATTCCCTAGTCGTAACAGTTACTACATCAGTGAGAGCTACAAATAATGACTGCTTTGCGCCAGTGTGTGTGTTAGTGCAAGTTCAGCATGCATGCATAAATTCACAATGTTCTACACAATTGAAGAGTTGATGCTTAAAACGTTTCAAACGCCAATACTCAAACACTGCTACGAGAGGGGGGGGGGGGGGGGGGATGTTTACATCACGTCCCTCTAGTGCCATCGACATGCCGATATGTTCTCACATTTTCGTTCTACAGTGGCTGTGATGCATCCATATTTTTTGCATCTCTCTCCACAGAAGCTTTGAAATGGTTGCACCATATGTTGCTCTTTTTCAGATGCCGATTTGTTATAGTTTTCTAGATTTTATTCTTTCCTTTGGTCTGCCCACTGTAGGTCTTTTAAAGTGGCCACCATACAAACACCATAGCCGTGCAGTTTCGTCACATAAAGCACACATTCTTTCGCAGCAATAAACTTATGTGTTAATTTTAATGATATGCACAAGATCACACAGCACTATGGGCGAATCCGCAGCAAAAAAAAATGAGCGCTGAACAAGTATATAGCATCTTACAAGTATAGCATCTTACCTTTTTGTCCCACTGCTGGTGGAGGTACCGCAGCAGGATGTTGGTCTTTTCAGTTATGATCACTGCATTGGCATTTTGACAGTGCACACTACGTGTGAGAATTCATGCCCTATTCAAGGTGCAGTAATTCTTTAGAGTAATAAACCAAAAGATATTTTGTGCATCTGTGTATGTGACAAGGACTATCAGAAGCGGAGGAAGCAATAACATTGAAAAAAGTCATATGTACATTATTATAGCTTGGAGTGCACAGTATTTATTGACAAGTGCTCCCGTTCTAGTAATTTTACTTCTTAAAGACTTGAAACAGGCCAATGGCAACTGCAGAATGCAGGTTGATGTATGCTTCAAAAACATGCAACACACTCAAGAAATGCACAAAAGAAAGGCTTATCTAGCTTAGAATAGACTTTATTCACATTTTCTTCATGCAGAAGACTTTTAAAGAAAAAGAAACTAGAGACTAACACCGAGTTCCTGAATTTCACACTAACCAAATGCTATCATGGGGTCAGTGTGTTGTCATGCTTATCATGGCATTCCTACACAAGGACGGTTCTTATGCAAATGAAATTCCCTGTGTGTGCCTGGTTACATCTTATCTTGGTTTATTGAAACACAATCAACTAGTTACATGAAGCTGCTACCAAAACTAATATTATAAAATTATAACCTGGAAATAGTACTTTTTATATCAATAACTTTCCTTAGTACAAATTTGAGCACGTGGTTGCTACGACTGAAGTGGAGCCAGAAAAAGCTGAATTGTCCCGTAACAGCTGTCGCTATTTGACAGGCCATGTTACTTCTACTACATGAAGTCTCAGCACCGAAATAGCACAGCAGTTTCTTACCCTGGTCAGGTGGGTGGTCACGAGTGGGAAGGTACACCGATGGCCTTCGCACCTTTTAATAGAGAGTAAAATGGGACCGCTTAAAGCACCAGCACTAGACATTGGTCGTCAAGTAAAAAGTCATCAAGCATGAGAAGAAAACGTCAACAGTATTCATGTGAATAGAGAATTGATATTGCAGATTGCACATAAATAAAACTCATACATCTGACAATAATGCATGTGCTATTGATGAGCAAAGTCAACCAAAGTTTACTTGATCTTCACAGGCCATCTTTGAACATCCAAATGTGGTTCAAATCATGCAAGGTTGAAATTAAATGAGAAACTCAAAGGAATAAAACAAAAGCATGGAGTCTTTAGTTCCTCATCCCAGTGTAAACCTACCTCATTTTCTTTTCTTTTTTCTTTTTTTTTTCAGACATAGGCACATGAGTGAACACCACTGCTTTCCTTAAAGCGGGTACTGACATTTTTCTCCGGAGGAGTGTTTACTTTGCCACATAAATCTCCTGTATACAGAGACTGCTCTGAGCAAGTGTGACTTCCAACAAAGGCTGTTAGATAGTCAAGTCAATTTTTTCGCGCAAAACCCATCGACATGGACACTCACTTAGTGTCAGGCTAAAGTACTAATCCTGGTGACTTCACGCAGCAGTCTGGCTAGTTGTGATGACGTCAAGCAACAAAACACACAAAATGGCAGCTTGTGTGTCACCTTCTCTCGGTCATCTGCTCGTGCTGTGCAATCGTGTGGTCACTGTGATCCGGTGTATCTGGGAAGCGAGCTAGAGGAGCCTGGAATAGTGTACGTGCACAAGATACACGCTGATAAGAGGGCGAAAAAAAAATTGATTTCGAATTCGTCGTCACGGCACCGTTATTTTGCTTTGTCAAGTCTTGGACCAGCGAAATGGGGGACAATAGGTGCAAGTTCCTTTGATTCCCGTCAAATCCAGCCCTGAGGCAAGAGTGGATGTCACGGCCGAGGCTGCACGCCAACCAAGCGGAGTTTACTCTGTTCGCTGCACTTCACTCCACAAGCGTACACGTGTAACATGCATTTGCTGAGCAATTTCGGATTGTCAACTGAGAACGCTGTGCACCCCTGCTGTGACAGTTGCAACATGTGCAACTCAGCAGACGGCTGAAGAAGTGATGCACAGACGAGGATACACCACAAAAACTTGCATCCGCCCATACTGGTGGCGCTGGTCATATTATGTCGTGACGTCAGGGTACAGTAGGAATCGAAGCTAGTTTTTAAAGGCATGCTGTAATTAATTTTTCAGTGCCCAGTGATGCTTACTGGAATATTTTCTATGCTCTTGGGCTTGGTCTATCATTTGACACAAAAAAACTATACAGTAAGTTAAAAATTCCATGTCTATACCGCTTTAAGAACAACTTTTTCTTGTGATGCACATGTCACCTTTGTTGACAAGAAAAATGCCCACTGCAATAATGCCGAGACTCTAGTAGCGAGAGAAATTGCATGGCACACAAGACCATGGACAAGTGAAGGCAATGACAAGCAATTGCCCAGTGGTTAGCGAAATGGGCTTCTAAGCCCATAAGCCGCATAAGCATGAGATTTATCTTCCGAGAAGCAGTGTGCAGTTGTTTTAATTAGGGGCGAAGCTCCTTATGGCACGGCTTGTGCGTCCCCCATTGTCGTAGTGTGTAACCTATGGCCCATATGTACATACCAGTGGCACATACCCGCCCTCTGGCATATATCAGCATGACCACATGTTACGAAAAAAGTGGCACGGAGTCGTTATCATGCTCTCGGTGTTAACAAAGTACTGACAGCATAAACCTGGTACATACTCTCGTTTAGTTTTTGGATTGTCCGCTGAATGGTGATATGATAAATATAGGATAGAAAGAAGTGACATGGCAATACTTGATGTGTTCACTAGATGGAAGGACGGACAGACAGACACACGGACGGATGGACGCACGAATAGGTGCCCGTACGAATGAACTGGCGCAAGGACGGACATACGGAGGGACGCACTGACAGAAGCAGGGACGCATTGACGAACGCTTCACCCCACTAATCATCGTTCACTCTGTAGATATGCTATGATCTTTTTTTTCCGCTCTATCACTTGAAGCTAACGCTGAGGAGGCCATAAGACAACAGCTGTGTTGTGGAAATGGTCGTGAAAAACTCCTTTAGTCTGAAGCATCGTTTAAGCATCTCATAAATATTTAAATTTATTATTAAACATGCAGTATGCATATGCAGCTACTACACAAGCCGTATAGTAACATCATTGGCGTAAATTGTAAGGAGGGGGTCAGGGGGGTCTGAACATTCCTTGTGTTCAGGATGGCAAGGGTAAGTGCCCCCCTTGAGATTCAGCTTTAGCACATATAATTGAGTTAACAGTTCAGTGTTGCACAATCAACTTTTTTAAAAGCTGTCTATCTTTTGCTACGTACCTGCATTTAATGCCCCTCATCTGTGTCAACTATCGCAATCGCAAGAGAGGTTAAAAAAAAAAGAGACCAAATAGAACAATGCATTTGCTCGAGCTCAGACCCAGTTTTCATTTTATTATTATTTTATTTCAAAGCATGCTTTAAAGGGGTTGTGAAAGGTCGCTTTTACACGACAATGCGGCACCATTGGTAGCCACACACCAACTAGGACACATCAACCTGAGTAGACCAGTATAGATGCTGTTCCATATCATGAAATGCTGAACTGCATGGCATCTGCGAGCACGCGAGGGACGCCCATCGGCGTCTTTGCTATATGTGCACAATCCACGTCCCACAGGCACACTGCTTAATATGACATGAGCTGCAGAGTTCAAGCTAGCATGGATTGTGTATGGCAAAGACACCAATGGGTGCTCCGATTGCGAGCACTCGCGAGTACCATGGAATTCCGTGTTCCTCGATCGGCAAAGCATCCATGCAGGTCTACTCTAATTACGCTGACATCGCCTACTTAGTGCGTGTGGATGCCAGCGGTTCCACACCGTCGTTTTAAGAGCAGCCTTTTCACAACTGCTTTAATTCTCATACAACTAAAGACACAAACCCTATTAAAATAAACGAAATGGCCATCATGGCCTGATTTGTGTCACCCCTTGCGATTTTTCTACTTACGCCGCTGAGTAGCATACTAAGATGATAGCGTACACTGCTTGCTTTTGATTTCGTTTAGACTCTTTGGACGGTCACATGCTTCAACTACATTGTTTTTAGCTTGTCAACATCATTTCCGAACAGGTTTAGAGCAGTCACTAACAAATATTGCACTTTGTAGGAGCATGAAACAGCACTTCCATGTGTTGTGTAAAGTGAACTGCATAATGAAGAGTTCAATTGCAGCAGCAACAGAAACCATGAGTAAGTTACATAACTTCCACCACGTGTACACAGTTCTTGAAAGCAATAGTAAAGCTGCTAAGAAACATTCCCGACTACAAGTGCCAAACAAGGTTACAGAACAGCTGTTTGCTATCTTCACAGCATATGTTTCTTAAAAGCGACTTCAACTAATCTTAAAAGTAAAGGTAACTCGTCAAGAAGGAGGTTGTCTTCAAGAAGAAACAAGCAAACAAATGTGAATATAATGCAAATAGACATTTTATACTACTTAAAAATTATCTGCTTCGTGCTCGTAATTAGGCTGATAAATTTTCAAATTAGTGATTGCCAAACAAGACTGAGCCTATTTGCAAGCATGCAATGGGCTTCACCTAACACCAACCAAAACCCAATTAGCAAGTTCAGCAGCTCTAGTAGCAGCTTGAAGCATCCAAGTTAACTATGCTGGCAAACTAACTACAAGAATTATCAAGTGACTTGGCCTTGGGGTTTTAAGCCTCGTTGTCAACTCTGATATCGGTAACAGCCATGGCAAGACAGCAATAATGTATTTGATTTTAAACCTCAGTGAATTATTTTGCGAAGTGTAAATCTCACTGTTTAAGGAAACTAAAATAGATGCATCGGAACACCTCGCATAATATCAATCCCTGATACGACACTTCCTAGAGAAATTTATTTCATTGGTGCAACATAAAACTCACCTACACAGCTAAACAATCAGAATTCATCTGAAGCTAGCTTGTGTATATGGGCAATCAGCCAAATCCCCATGACACTCTGACTCATCGCACAGGAATTGGCAGAAAATTTAAGCATACCCTTTCATATTTTGTGCTTACAGTGGTTCTGCAGGATGAGTCCGCTTGGAAGCGGGTGAAGTTGTTCTCGTTGTAAGAAGGCAGGCCCTTCAGGAACTCTGCAGCAGACTGAAGCAAAGAACACCTACAACTTATAGATTAACAACTCACGTCAGTGACATAAGACAACAGTATGATAGACAAGTTTCTTTACGTTCACAGAACATGGCACGAAATCAGCCAATAGAGAGTTTTTGAATTCGGTTTGTAGAGTGCACTGCTTGGGTATACAAGCCAGTTTCTGAAATATTACATACTTACCCAGCAGGTTAGCACACATGAGCAGTAGTGACAAAAGCTAATGCAAACTTTTGGGTACACCATTCGAAAACTTCCTAATCATAGATTAACACAAGGGCCCATGCCCACCCTCATTACTGTTGTTGCAAAGGATCAACATGTACCTGACAAAGATAGTAAGAGCCACGTAATAATCGCAACAAAACGCAGCACAATCTCTGCAAAAGAGACAGTGTAAAATACATTTCTCTAGCAATAACAGTAACAGACCTCAAAGGACAAAATGACAAGGTGAGTGAAAACAAAAAGACAAAAAGGAAATAAAGAAAAGCCATTGGCACCACATACTGTGCCTTCGTCAGTGTCACATCTTAGTACTGCTTCACTCCATTATCCTTGTAAGTAGTTGCCCTTAAATGCTTTCCAAGATAATTTTACTACTGCTTCACATCTCTGAGCTCTGAATACATCCTGAGCCATCAAAAGTTGCCAATCCACTGTGTTTTTTGGAGCTGGCAACAGTCGGGGATATAGTGCTTCAAAGGGATATAGAGTTTCAAAACACACAGACACCGCAGGCACTCAATTATAACTGTTTATTCCTTGAGGGAACAGATTAATATACACCCACTTCTCGTCGACACATGCGCAACATGATTAGCCCCTTTTCAATGCCTTATTCTGTAGCACAGTAATTTTTCTAACATGCAGCTAATTCTTTCCTATATTTCAAAATGTATAGTCCCGTAAGCAGATATTTTTTTGTTTAAGTTAAATATCTAGGACCTCTATTCATGTTATGCTCTTAACCCACTCGCCATGTTTATTCCTAAGCATGTCGGCCGTGTATACGGACCACGGCCCCACCCTCAATGATGACTAGCGCGGCTCGCATTCCCCGCCCGTAATTCTTGGTGGGATAAACTAAGACAGGTTCCCGCCTCGTTTTATCCTTGTTTTCGGACTTCCTCGGAGGCGCCAACGCCGCAGCTTGCCAGCGGACGGGTCGATCAATTACGTTTTCTTCTGCCAGCCCGAGGTACTGGCTAAGCCCACGTAACGTCATAGGGTTATGCACACAAGTAGCCGCGTTTCGGAACAACCGAAACTGAAGATCCAAGAATTTTGCGCAAAAAAACGCGCCAGAAGTCGCGCGATTGAATGAGCCCACCTATCTTATCGCCGTAGCCGACGGCAACCGAGCACAAGCGAAGCAAAGCGCAAAATAAAAGCTGAAGTTTCGCGCTTCCTTTTTGTGAGTACTTATCAACTTCACAAGGCGAAAGCGTGAGCAAGCAATTCAGCAGACGAGCGAATACAGTCCAGCGAACGAGCATCATACGATGCAGTGATGGCTGCCCTTCGGGCAATGGTTTCGCAGGACACGTTTTTATTCCGCCGCATCAAACAGCGCAGAAAAACGAAAACATAGCTTCCCCTGGCGAAACTCAGTCGGCTTTGAGTGCGTGCTCAGACTGGAAACAGAGTCATTCCAGTCACGCCAGAAAATCACTTGGTTACATCACGGTCGCAAGATTGTGCGTCGCTGCCACGCTGGTTCCAGACGCATCCAACACGTCCAACTCAGCACTAGCCATCATAGCGCCTGCCCGGTGAGCATACGCAATGCCACGTTGAACATGAAGAAAAAAACTATGAAACAAATAATTTCATCAACAGAGCACACATTCAAGCTAGGGAAAAGAAGCAAAGGGGAAAAGAAGCTAACAACGTGAGCGTAATACATACGCAGTACCATCATGCTCCTCTCTCTTTCCTGACACGAAGGCAGGGGGTAGGTAGGGCTAAAGCTTGCCTTCCAAGCCGTAAAAAGAAGCAATACAAACGGACAGTACTGCCACTTACCATTTCTACGGTATGACGGTAAATGACAATGAGTCAATTGGCTTCCAGATGGATAAGCACCACCGAAGATTCGACGCAGGAAAATTTGGCCCTCGCGGGTGACACTGTTGAGGTGGTCAGCACTTCGCTCTGGCTCAAGGAGCAACCGGCGCGGGTGTCCGATTTACCGGCTGCCTCAATCAACTCTGTAGCGTTCGCCGCAATTAAACAAAGCTATAGAACAGGATTGTATCAATACATCGATATGCATCCAGATTTCTTTCCTTCGCGAATCCGACAGCTGCAATGGGCGCAATCAACTACAAATGCGACCAAATATCTAAACACTACTTGGATTGACTTGGATCTAAGCGTAACGTCGCCAATAAAATCTGTAGTGACCTATGGAGAGATGCATGCAAACTTTTCCTAGAAGCCATTAGCTATATGCTAAAGACGTTGGCTAGAGGTTGTTACAATTTATTACAAATACTGCCTACAATTGAGTACATCTACTTGCTACGTATTTTTTGTTAAAATGTAACGAAGTTGTTAACGTAAAGTAAATGTTTTTGTCTGTAAAAGCTCACTATGTGAACGTGACTGGCTTCTGACCAATGAAGTCACAAACCGATCTAGCTGTTTCAGTGGTTTTTGTTCTCGTGCGCGCTTTCGAGCGGTAGTTATTTTGAAAGGTGCCTACGGTCGCAGGGTGCCATGCAGTCAATGGAAACTTACGAAATGAGTTATTTGCTCTAAAATAATTGTGCATTTCAGCCCAGCAATAATGCGTTCCGCATCGACTCACCGCTCACAATCGAGCCCAACTTTGAAGGATGCTTTGCGTGCTGCCTCTTGCGCAGCAGCCCCCGCAGCAACGGCTGACAGCGGAAAGTCTGAAGACGACTTGTTCGCCGAACTCTACGTCTCCGCCAGTAAACAAGCAGGCGCAGAAAGTCCGATTCCTCGCTTTCACTACAAGCTGCCTTCCGACGACAATGTATTGTCGCAGAAACTGAGGGAGGAATCTCGCGCTAGGTTCCTGGAGCGTCGTAACGCCGAGCTCTTGGACCACGACGAGCTAAAAACACTCATGGACGAATTGGCCAACGTGTCCTCTCCTCCGATCGTACACGAAAAAGCGATGCTTAACTACACAGATTTCAAGAAAGTCTCTCAACGTTGTGGCGAAAAATGTCGCTCTTTCTTCACTGCCAAGGTCTTTGCTAAGCTCCTGCAAAAGGACCCGTACGGCCGAATATCCGTAGACGACTTCTTCAACTACGTCATGAAGAAAGTGTGGATGCAACAGACTCGTGTTAGCCTCTCTTTCTACGACGCTTCTGGTCAAGGCTACCTGAGAGAGGCCGATCTGGAATCGTACATAAAGGATCAGATACCTACCCTGCCTCAGATTAACGGCATTGAGCAAACGTTTCACTCTTTCTATGTGTGCACGGCTCTGCGGAAGTTCTGCTTCTTTCTCGATCCTTTGCGAACTGGAAGGATAAAGATACAGGACATCCTGTGTTGCCCGTTCCTCGACGACCTCACAGAGCTTCGCAGCGACAAGCTGGCCAGCTCCGATCTGGACACGAACTGGTTTTCTGCCACATCGGCCCTCAAAGTTTACGGTGACTATCTCCACTTAGACAAGACTCACAATGGAATGTTGAGCAAGAGTGAGCTTGCCAGATATGGCAAGGGAACGTTGACGCAGGCATTCATTGACAGAGTCTTTCAGGAGTGCCAGACATACGACGGTGACATTGACTACAAGACGTACCTTGACCTTGTCTTGGCTCTGGAAAACCGCAAAGAGCCGCAGGCACTGCAATTTTTCTTTCGCATCTTGGATATCAATGGTCGTGGTTACCTGGACGTCTTCTCACTGAACTACTTCTTCCGGGACATACAGGAGCAGATGAGAAAACATGAGCAGGAACCGGTGAAGTTTGAGGACGTGAAAGATGAAATATTCGACATGGTGAAGCCAGAGGACCCATGCAGAATTACTCTCAAGGACCTTATACGTTGTGGTAAAGGCAGCACAGTAGTCAGCATTCTCATAGACGTCAACGAATTCTGGGCCTATGATAACAGGGACACACTAGCTGCAGATGTCTGAATGTATTTATGAATTTAAATGCTGGCATGACTGCCAGCATTTAAACGACTTTCCTTGTGTGCGCGAGACTTCACGTTCGGGTAGCATGAACGACGCTGGTTACATGCCAACCGCTTGAGTGGAAGTACTGGCAGTCATGGTAGCTAGTGTCTACGGCCTCCGGCTACTGACCGGAATGACTAAGAGTTAGTTTCCGACCTCATTGGTCGGTTTTTGGGGGAGGCAAAATGCTAGGATGTCAGTGGACCTTAAAGAAGCTGGGAAAGAACCCCATACCTGAACGAATTTCTGGGCAACTAAGAAGCTTTTCTTTCCGAGAAATCCGTGCAGTTTTCAAATGGGTGTGTGCGCGCTCTTGTGCGAGACGAAATTAAAAAGACGGTGCCAGGTCACAACCACTGTGCGAGCCAAGCCGGCCGGAGCGGTAATGTGACACCAAAATGGACCTCCTGTGGTGAGCACAGCTGTGCAACTTTGCGCAGAGTCCGGGAGAAGGCAGAAGAGGGACGTCTGTGCAACTGGAGAGATGCCATGTTCTTGTCTCTCGGCAGTTTTCTTTACCTAAATAAATGCTGTTTTGTTGAAGTAACCGTTCTTGGACAATTTTTCCCTCCCGTCCCCCAAATCATCGTAGTTTAGCATCTAGCAGGTGGTTGTCCATTTTCCCAATTATCATTTGTGGCAACCTCAGAGCCCCCCGTCCCCGAGTCTCTATGGGACATTAAAGCCCACAAGCTGACAAATCAACCTTATATGGAAGCACCTTCTGGTAACATGAAATTTCTAATTAAAAGTATACATTTTGCATGTTTCATGCATTTTCAGCATCATTACAGTAACTCAACAACGATATTACGATGCATTGTATCACTGTTCTCCTTTGATTGTATTTGCTCATAATTGTCATGCGGTCTTCATGGGGTTATATTGTGAGGGCTATGAGGGTTATATTGGTGCATCAAATTATCGCATGCAACATTAACGTACTTATAATCAGCCCTTATGGATAATACATGCATAGGAATGTATCAGATACACACCTGTCATGTCTGCACACAGTACAATGCATGTATAAGAAGGAATAAGATTGTTCCAGCTTTCTTTGTGCCTATTGTACTTATCTAAAAAAAAAAAAACACACCACACCTTTTTTGCTTGGCCCATTAGACCGCTTACTGCATTATCTTAGAATTCCTTGAACATGCTCTGGCAAGTGATTATATAGCAGCCAAGCACACATAGATTTGCGTGGTACATTGGACATCCAGACATACTTCAAATGTACAACTACACATTTCACTTGTCATCGAGGTTTGGTGTGTGTCTTTTAAGAAAGACCTTAAGGTCTGAATTATATAAAATTTTTCGTAAGCATGGCAGCTTTACAGAACCTAGGCACTATATGGTCTACTACAAGAAAGGTGAGGTGAGATCGCATTCATCTGCACATTTTAGCAATTTATCATAACTAAAGGTGTAATTAAACATCATTTATAGCCAGTCAGGTTGTATTTCTGCAGAATGAAATCTCAAGCTTGAAGTACATGGCCAATTTATAGCTTTGCACCGATTTTTAACAAGTAAGAATGATACTATTTGATGCACCTGCCACAACATTCCACATTGAACAACACAGTAATATTGTTTAAAAAAAAGTGGTCTGAGAATCGTTAGCTCTATTCTGTCTTGATGGTACTATTAAAGGTGTGCCGAAAACAAAATGTGGCTTCACAAATAATGATAAGTATACTGGTACTAATAACCTGTCATTAAAGATAAGTACCACTATGATTCTGCTATCTCTCTTTTGTGCACCACAAACTCTCAGGGGTACCCTGCAATTCACATAAAAAACAAGGAGAGATTGCATTCCTGTGGTTTCTTGGAGAGACATTCTTTGACCTAATGTCTCAAAGGGCCTGGTGTTGGCACCAGATTTTCATATCTATGCACATTGTACCAGACCACCTTTCTGGATGTTGCAAGATCAGAAAACATATGGCAGCTGAGACAACTATAGTATCGGAAACAAAACTTGAAAGCATGCCCAGTTGGCCTTTCTTTATTCGGATTCTCACATACTTGTAAAGGCACACACAGTATGTAAAATATTGGTAAGGAACACAAGTCAAAAAGGTTTTCATGTAGATTGGTGGACTATAAATTTTTCTGAAGAAACTGGAAGGTAATTAACATAAAAAATAAGTATCAGACTGGCTATTCCCAAATGTAAAGCTAAATTGCAAAGCATGTCACTGTGGTGTGGTGATGCAACTACTGTGGTATTTTCACGTCTTTAAACTTTCATCATTCAGAAAGTGCTGCTAAAAAATGCTAGCTTGAGTGCTTGCTTTTATTAGCATTAGATTAATGTCATGCAAGGGCTGGGTAGAATTTGCACAGAATCAAGATACAAATGTAGTCTTTGCTGTCTCGTTCAGCAATCAAAATGGTATTTTATTAGTTTTGAAAAGAATACTAGGAGCCTAAGTTAATGCGATTTTTCCTTGAGTCTTCTTTTCAACATAAGGTATAATTAACCTTGGGTATAATTAGGTATAACTATACTTAAACAAAGTAGTCTAGTCATTGACATGAAAACTCTTATATGCTAATTTCCTAATAAGCAAGTGTGCTATTATTTGAGGAACATATAATGATACCATCTACTCGAAAGGTTTCCTGTAGATATTGAAGGTCGATTGGTGTCGATGGCACAGAAACGACCACTCAAAGATTTATGCTTCGCACCATTACCACATGCAACAACACTACCATGTTGGCATGTCAGCTGCCATACGACCAAGTCAATTTGTGGGCCATTTTGTATGCATCTTCTAAATGTACCATTGCTAAATAAGCAGTTTTCTTCCCTTTGTGCACTTTAAGTTGTGACTGTCTCCATGAATAAAGTTGATAATTGATCTTTCGGACAACAGAGTGGCAGCATGCAGTGCATCTATATCAGCAGTGCTGCTATGAATGTCACTCCAGCCTGTGCGCATTATCTTTCACTCAAGAATGTCTACGAGTATGAGCTTCCCAGGGCCACTCATTGTTTGCCACTCTGATGGCATCGGCAACCAAAGTTGTGATTTGGACCAGGTGACTATGGCAGTAACACAGAAATTCCATGTTTGCAGCATTGTATGAGCATATAGCACTCAAGAAATTGTGCGGGAAACCAAGCAGCATCAGTAATTTCAGTTGCTGATGTATTTCTGTGACAGTGCCACGGGAAAAATTTGAGCACCTAGGCCCCTAATTGTATCTTGCACCTGAAATATTGACAACTCGACAGTATTGCTGCTGCAATACACATTTGAGAGCACAAGTGAACAAATTTGCTTTGCTGTAATCTATATCTTGTTTGAGTCCACCCTTCCAACTCCATTATAGAAATATGCTCCACAGAAATAAAGTGTGACCAATATTATTTTACACATACTTTATTATAGCCGATGACTGAGAATTTCTCTGGCTACCCCAACAAACTTTGGCCACACTGGCTGTCTGGCTTCACACAAACCGTTTCGCCAACATGCATTAAATTTTTTACCCATAGTTATATCGGGCGCTACCAACATTGGCTTAAAATGAACCGTTTTGCCAATACTGGTGCAACAAAAAATACCTTAGAACTACACTCTAACCTAATTATCACAAAGTTACATAAAACAAGAAATTAAGTTTGTGTTATCCGAAAATTTGTTGTAAAGGTTATTCTTAACACTGAATCCATTATAATAAACTTTTTTATTTACTTTGTTATAAACAATATTTCATATTCGTTTTTGTTATATTGACATTTGAGTGTATATGCATTGTACATGCACATAGAACTATGGGCATGTCTTTCACTGTAACGTTAATATCTGAGCTTGTTATAGAAAAGGCATGAGTGTGCTTGCATGTGCACGTGCATACCTGCATATGGTGACATGAAGAAAAGAATATCTTAGGTTTATAACTGAAAAGTTACATGCACTTTTTAAAAAAAGCACTGTTCAACATTTTGATGTTTTGGCTGGTGCACAGCCTTTCTTAAGACACGACAAAATACATAGCCAACCACACACATAACAAGCTAGTTTCATATGCCATTTTCCACACAAAAAGAAAAAAAGGAGAGAGAAAGACAGCCTATTTATACAAGGAAAGGTAGCAATAAAAAGAAGTAAAATGAAAACAGTACAGTCAACTTAGAAGAGAAAGTTTGATGTCACCGCATGGTTATGCTAATAGAAGAAGGTAGCCTCACACCTAAGTGAAGGAGAAGATAGACAGACAGACGAATAACTTTATTGGGTCCCGAGAAACTCTACTATTTTAGAGCAACGTCGCCAGCTGCTCCCACGTAGGAACGGGGAGGCCTAGCCGCACAACCGCATCACAGGCTCTCTGGACAGCCCGTTGTTGTGGCAGCAACTCTGAACTTTGTAAGGCAGAGTCTCAATCCTCTTCTGTGAGCCAACTTGGGCCCCGTAATGAGTGGCACTGCCAGAGCATATGTGCTAAGTGACTAACCTCACTACAATCAGAACAAGTAGAGTCAAAAGCCTCTGAGGAGACCATGCTGAGGAAAGATAGGCTTGGATAGGACCTGGTCTGGAGCATTCTAAACGTTATGGCCTGAGGTCTAGATAACTTGCTGTGCGGAGGAGCAAATGACCGCCTACTCAACTGGTAGTGTTTAGCCACTTCACTGAATGTAAGTAAAGCGTCCCAACACATCTCACTGCCAATCTGCGGACATACGTCCTCACCAGCGCGGAGGGTTAGTGTGCCCGCCCGGGAATGAGAAGTGTCATTCAGGTTTACTAGAGAGTCCACTAGGGGTTCGAAATGTGCATGAAATTAGGTAATGGTATGTGGAGAGCGTGTCCTATTTTCAAGTAGTTTAAATACTTCAGCACAGACGGAACCAGAGGCGAAAACCTTGACCGTTGACCTTGAGTCGGTGAAGATTTGCGATCTACTGTCATCCAAAAGGGCAAGGGCTACAGCCAACCGTTCGGCTTTTGAGGGAGTAGAGTCCCTAAGTGACGCAGCATTGGTAAAAGAGCCAATATGATCGACGGAAATAACAAAAAACTTACTTGAGCGACATCGACAAAACAAGCTGAATGAGGATCGTTCCTGATGCTCTTCAGAAGTGTGATGGCCCTAGCGCGGTGCCTTCCTATGTTGCGCTGAGGATGGATGTTTCGCAGAAATGGAGAGACCTGGATGGCAGTAAGCTGTTCATCCCGCAGTTGAAGACGGTGATCCTCTACGAGCGCCAGACTAAGGCCTAGGACGAACAGGATTTTCCTACCAGCCGGCGTAGACGATAGGCGCATTAGCTGTGCAGTCTCTTGGGCTTCAATGATTTCATCTAGGATGTTATAAACTCCTAGCTGCATAAGCCGTTCAGTGCTTGTCTGCACGGGGATGCCCAACGCCAGTTTTACGCTTTTTCTGATAAGAGCTTCCAGCTTCTTTTCGAATCCATACCAAGAGTGCATGGCAACAACGTGCATTATATGACTCATGAGGAATGCATAAAAGAGCCTCAGTAGACTGCCCTGTCTGAGTGACCCCCTTCTGT